TTCATTGCAGTTGTTAAAGCAATATCTGTTCTTGCACCTGGTCTGCACTTTTGTTCCAACTTCACCTGCAAAGTCTTTGACAGATATTTGGTGTATAGAACATAAGTGGAACTGCAATATATTTGGCAGCTAAAGCATTTGATATTCTGGGTCCAAAATAGACTGCAAGTCTGCTTCTATTTCTCTTGCATTCAAATTTTTCGCATGTAAACTTAACTGGGTCCCAAGCAGTTCCAGCAGCATTGAAATAATAGGTTACTTTCAGTGTTGAGGTTGTAAACCAAAAGTCTAAGTCAATTTGTCTTTGCAAAGTCGCGAACTTGATCATTTTAGTTCCCACTACTTCTAGAGTAATGGGTCTTGTGTTGTGCAATGACTAAGTTATTTTTGCTTGGAGTAAGTTCGATAGAAATTTTTCCTGCCAGTTGGCAAGTATCTTAAAACCTGAAGATGAGGAAAGATGACAAAGGAACTCTAATTTCAGTTTTACTTTAGTGGTCAGCAGTTCCATTTGCCAGAAAGGTTAACATAAACTCTGGAACGTTAGGGTCAAGTCTTCTTATTTTCTCAATAGTTGCATACTGGTCTGTTTGTTCTCTAGCTTGTGTTGTACTGAGTTTCCAAAGCGAACCATTCATAGTTTGCCATGTTACTGTTTGAACTAAGTCAGAGTTAGAATATATCTTATATCCCATGAAAACTCTTGGAGCATATGGTATCGACATAGAAAATTCCATTGCAACCTTTCTTGTCAGCAACTTGGCAGAAAGGTTTTATTTCAATGTCTTGTTCCACGTATAAAATGAGTTGTCAATAGAAATAATATAAACCTGTGCAAGCAATATCTACTTGTGTTGAAGAACCTTCTCCAAACTCACCTACATTTCCATAAGAAACAGCAGTTGTATATTCGTAAGTTCCAGGAACTATTTCTGACCTTCTAATGGCATTGTCGCATTCGTTATACCATTGGAAACATTTCCTTCATGGATCCAAAAACTGTTGGTTATTTCTGAGCGGTACATTTCATATGGTAAAAATAATAGAATATTGGATTTATGTGTCATAATAGAACCCACTGGACCAAGCTTACTTTCTTCTACTGTTTTTCTTCTTTTTCTCATTATACTTACTAGTAGTTTTTCTTTTTTATTGTTCTACTTCTTTTCTTGGTGTCGCTTTTGGTACTTCCTCTGCTTCAAGTTTGTTTGATCTTTGCTCATGTTACCTAGTATTTGTAAATTCCCATGTCCTTTTTGCCTTGGCTCTGTCGCCATCTCAGGTAACCTATATTCTAGAAAGATTTTTCATAGTTGTATTTGAGTCTTCGCGTTTGTTTGCATGACTCTTTCTAGGTTCGTTCAAGCTTTCAAACAGAGTTGTCCAATGGAATAAGCTCGTTTCCAATATATGTTTTTGTAGCCATTTGGTTTCTTTCCATGTTACCAATAAATCTTTTGTGAATGGGAAAGCTTTTACCCAATTGTTTCAGTCTTGGCATTTATTTCTGTAGTTGGTTTTATTTTGTCAAGGACATTGTTTTTCAATACTAACATTTCATTTGGTACTGTCCATTTGAGTTTTCTTAAATATTCATCCTTCTTCAGTTCATTGTCTGCAAAGTAAGTTTTTAGACATTTTGAAACTTTCTTGCAAGGTCATGTACAATAGGTTCTCTTCTTCTCTCCCCTAACTTTCTTTCTAAACTCTTCACCAAAATACCATCTCTATTGTTCTTGTATTCTTTGAGATAAATGTTCTAGAACGTCAGGTGTTATATTTCCATACCATGTTCATTTCATACTGGTTCAAATATACTGCATCTTTCATATCTTTCAATGCATTAAAGCCGCGTAAATACCAGCTATATCTGGTTCACCATTCACTTTCATTGCGTCTACAACTTCTTGGAATTTTGGTTGTAAGTTTATGAACCACCTATCTGGATTAGCTTTATGACCCCATCTCATTGTAGTTCCATAGTCTGCAGAAACAAAAGTAGGTTTGTTTCCATATTGGTATAGGTTCTGAATGAACTTTAAACAATGTTTCATTTCTATATGTTTTGGAAAATTTAACCTTTATTTTCACCGAGTTCAGCCAAAGATTGAACGTTATATGTCGTAAGTAAAAGGTTGTTGTATTTGCGTACACTTTCTTTCAGTTCTTCATCTATGCTGAATATTTTCATCTGATGTTGAGTCTTTTGTATGTCGGCGAACATTTTTCGATATTCTTCTACTATGTCAGCCGAATTTTTCTTAGACTCTTGGAAAGATTCCATATTCTCCGCATACTCTTGTTGAGGGTCAAGATTTTTCGGCTGTTCCAAATCTTCATCTAGTTCTGTGAAGTTAGTTCCAAAGGAGTGACTTGTTTGTTTCCTTCAGGCTCTTCTAGCTTTGTTGCTGAACTATTTCTTCCATGTCTGGTTGTATCTGAACTTCTTCCTGTGGAGTTTCTTGTACCTCATCTGCTGCATTTCATATATTCCGAGACCTTTTTAAAAATTCCCTATTAAGTCATCCGCATTCATAACCCTTTCTTCTTTCGTTCCGTCTCTATTTTTTACGCGTTTCATGAAGATAGTTTTAATTATCATTTATCTCTGCACAAATATCTCGGAGTAAATTCATTCATGTCATTTGGATGATATGCTATTAATCTATCTCCTTAGCGAGCTTGTATTTTCCAGGTTTGAAATTATATCCCATTGGTGCTGAACCATAAAGCTAAATAGGTTCGGTCAGTATTTCCTTCCTGAACTTTCTAATAGCTTTTATATCTGTCACTAAAGTCAAGAGTATCTGGGTAACCATAATTTCTTAAGCATTTTTAAGAATTCTTGTTCCTTGTTCTCTACTTCTTTTATGTCCTTGCTCTTTTGTGGTTGTGTTGGCGTGTTTACGTTGTTGTGTGCAGTTGTTTGAACTGGTTTTGTGGTGCATGTGTTTGTGATTTGGAACTGTTGGTTTTTGTGTGGTTTTGGTGCATGCCTGTGTCTGTGTCCATTGACGATGTAAATGTTTTAGTAGTCCTGGTGCAGGTGCTTCTCTTGTGAGGGTTTGGTGGTATATAAGTTCACTACTAGTTATATAATTCCAACTGGTATAATAAGTTCCACCAGCTGGCACATATCCATCTGCAGCATAGTGTCCTACCTGATTTTCGTTTTTAAGAAAGCATTACTAGGTCTGTTTTGGTCTGTTGTAACTCTTTTTTGACTTTCCACAACAGTTGCTCTAACGGCTCATAGGCACTTTGAACTGCCTGTCTCGTTGCTGCATCTGTTATTTTTTCGTCATATTTTGTGCTACTTCTCTTAACTCGTTGTCGAAACCTTCAGACTTCAGTTTTCTTTCCAGATGAGAAATCGTTCACTTGTTTCACCTTACTATGAGAGCTTCGAAGGCGTTCTTAAAGTCAGCATTCATTAAAGCTTCATTTGAACTGTCTTCATCCGCTTGTATTTTTGTCCTTATTGACCCTATAAGTTGGGCTGCTTTGCGTTGGCTTGGGAATCTAACCAATCATTATTAGCTTTTATATATCTGCGCTTTTCATTGCCTTTTGCATGGCTGCGTCGTTATTTTTACTTTCTTGTGCTAAGTTTTCATACTGTACGGTTTGGTTTTGCAACTGTAAAAGTTTTCTGCCTTTACATTTGCTTCAACTTCTTTTTTACTCATCGCTATCCATATATGTCTTCAGGGCTTTTTGTTTATTTCTTCATCTTTCAGTATTTATATTGAGTAGTAGGTTTTTCAAATTTATACATTTGTTCCATTTTTGCTACTTCTGCTGCTTTTTCTGACACTTTTTCGCAATTCTCTGTACTTAGTTCTTTCATTGTTCTTCTTCTTTTTTCGTCTACGTTTAACTCATTGAGTTTCTTTGTGTGTCTGTTCAATATTCTAGTTTCTTTTCGTTTTCATTATTGTTTCTGTATGTCTATGTTTGACTTTTTGACATCTGTTATTTGATTTTTGAGTGAACTCTAATCATTTGACTTTGAGTTATAGCTGTTCCGTCTGCAGCTCCAACTAGCCTGCCATTTTCGCTAAAAGTCGCTCTAAACCTCCACTCTGTGCACCAATAACTCGGTTTAAAAGCATAGGTTGCTTGACAATGTTTGCAACATAGTGGGGTCATTCATCATTTGTTGTTGCAACTGTTGTTGTGGTGTCAGTTTTACTATTGGATGTTTCAATGCTCCTTCCTCTTACGTATATTCTTACGTAAGCTTACGTGGCATTTTAAGTAAGTTAAAAAGCGTTTTTGACAGATGTTTATATGACACTTTTTGTTCAGCCACAAAAACTACTCGGTCAAATGTTTGTCAATTTTGTAAAATAAACCGTTCTATCTCTATTCTATAAGGGGGAAAGGCTTCTCAAAGTATACTTCCTTGGAACGCCCTGTAACTTTTCCTGTAGCGACTATGACCCTTACTTTCCGGAAAAGTTATACTATTTTGAGTGCTCTACAAAAAAGTCAACGGCTGGTCGGCTGGGGTTCGGTCCTCCTCTTGGGTCTTGGGCAAAATTTCTTAGGGCTAGAAGGGGCGCAGCCCCTGGAAGCCCCACATACCTGACCTTGTTTATTTCCACATTAATATTTAAGGGTGCATGAACGTCTATCTAACTTTTATTCATGAAAATTAACTTTAAACACTATAATTGAAGGTCGTGAAATACCTGAGTAAGTGCAGACATAAAAGCTTTTTTTTATGTGACATCTTATATGATTTACATTATGATATTCATTGAAAACTATTCCAATTTCTTAATATATATATATTCTACAAAACCCCATACTTTCAGTTACATTATAATATTCAATTCTAGGATTTTGGAATTTTCTTCCAATAAGCAATTCAATATCCTCTTCATCCATATACAAATTGTCTTCTTTTCATGTATCGAAGAGGAATAATTAATAATTGTGAAGTGTCTTATCAATGACATATGTGAAGTGAAATGTCTTCTCATTTTTTTTAAATGGGTATCTATACTTTTAAAGGACAACTTGTTAATCGATATCCATTAATTTTAAAGAGTCTATCTGAAATACCATATCCTAAATACAATTGTTTATTCATTGATGCTTCTTTATTAATTGTTAAAGGAATTCATGCAGGAGTTCAGACAGAATTGCGTACAGCAAATGCTCGCCAGTTGTTCAATAATGTTGTGCATCTCGTGCAGCCAACAGATTTAATTTTTATCGCTTTTGATGGTCCATTTTCTAATGCAAAACAATATACAGTATTAAACAGAAGATATGTTTATAAATCAATGCCAATCGAAACATATAATCAGATATTTGAAGATGATCTAAAGAGTTGGATTGAAGAACTTATTAATTTTGATGAATATTGGCAGAAGCCAAGGGTCATATTTTCAGGTTCAAAAGTTCCAGGTGAAGCTGAAACAAAGATCTTTGATTTTCTTCGTCAAGAAATACACAAACCAGAATGGGATCCAAATAAACGCCATTGTATCGTGACAAATGATTCTGATTTAATCCTGATGTCTTTGAGATCACATATTCCGAATATTGACATTTATAACGATATATACCAAAACAAAATAAGGAACGGAATGTTAGAGCCTTATAAATATCAACTTACTTCGTGAATACATTTTTCATGACATTGGTATCAATGATGAAAGAATTTTCGATGATTTTGTTCTTCTCATTAATTTATATTCCAGTGATTATCGCCCAATATTCGATTCTGATTTATCTAAAATTTCCATTGATGACCTTATTGAAACATATAAATCAGAACCATCATGTAGATTTATTACAGAGAAAGATAACATCAATCTGGAAAAACTCAAGATTTTCATATTGAAATTCATGGAAAGAAATTATCTTCAGGAGATTCAAAATCAACAACAAAACGAAACATCAGAAAATTAGAATGAGAATCAACTTGATTTTGAATCATATATTAAATCTAAAAAAGAAGAATATTTTTCAAAAAGAAAAACAACTCCTGAAGAAACAGAAAAGATTTCTCATTGTTTGATTGATATAGTATCTTATTCACATACAAGGAATATTCATCAGGAATTCCATCATGGTCATGGATCTACAAATATCATTTCGCACCTCCTCTATGTGTAGTTATAGATTATATCGATACATTCAAATCAGAATTAGTTCTTGATGAACCAATGAATTTGTTATATCAAGGCATAATTGCACCATATTGGCCGATGACAGAAATTGAGAAATTATTTGATGATGTAAGGAATAATGACGAATATATCAAATTATTTTTAGATCACCCTGCAGAAATAGATGAAACAAATGGACAATTTTTAATTGAAATTCCAAATTTGGATCGTATCAAACAATCATTAGCTCCATATTTGGACAGAATTACACCAGAATATGAATTTCTTATAAAACCAGAGAATACAATTGACATGAAAACTAAAGAAGATATACCTTTGAATTGCCATGAACCTTTCCCATCTGTTAATTTATTAACAGAATTACCAAATGATGTTCCTTCTTTTAATCCATTTGAAATTTCAATTGAAAAGAAAATTGTTCAAAGCAAGCAATATAGTAGTATTTTTCATGATGTTATTGTTAAATCAGGAAAAAGGGGAGGAGATCCAAAAGATTTTCTCAATAAAAGAGTTCTTGCTCAATGGCCATATAGAACTATTTGCATCGTTATGGATATTGTTGAGAAACCAAATGATTATGACATTAATGTTAAATTGGATGATGATGAAAAGTTTGTTTTGTTATTACCAGTTGATCCACAAACTAATTTCCAAGTTAGAAAAGAATTCATTTATCCATGGAGTTTAACAAGACCATCAACACAAAACAGGAAAATTAGGCCTAAAGAATATGAAGCAGATGTTCTTTTAACTCGTCCAAGAAATGAAAACTGGGAAAGCTTTCGATGTCTTTCATATTTATTCCGAGAAGTAAAATGGCGTGATGTAGATTTTCGAAAGATTTGGGCAGATCTTGGACTGTGTTCATTTGGATATTGTATTCCTTTTTACTTGTCGATGTATGACAAACAAATATATGTTGACAGGGACAAGATAGAGAAATATATTGATTTGTATATAAGGCATGTCCCAAAATCATGCTATTTAAGAGATAAAGAACTTTCAGAACAAGATGAACGATATCTAGAGGATAATTATGAAATTGTGAATTTTACAAGATTAGATGGGCTCCCACCAGTTTATCTTTCAAGTTTGGATACATATTCAAAAACAGATGTCGAATGGTTGGAAAAGAATTCAAAATTGAAATTCGAGCACAAGAAAATTCTTCCAACTCTTCTGAAGAAGTTTCCTATCTTACTGAAGAAACCCATTTTACTACGTGTAAAAATCTAATGTCCACCTAGTCTCTTACGTTTCCTGTTGAGTTCCATAGCATTCTTTAACTGGAGCTCATACATTCTGTTTCTCCTCTGGTAGAAAACATATTCTGGGTCAACTCCTGTGTTTGCGTCATCTGCATAAAGTTGTTTATATCCCACTTCAGGGTTTGTATAAAACTCTTTCCATCTCATATTTGCATACCATGGTGGCAAACCTAACGCAGCGTCATTTGACATGGCAGTTTGCATTTGTACATCTGTTGGCACTTGACCATAGTTTGCCATTGCAGTTTGTATTCTAACTTCATTTGGAATATTCTCTGGGTTTGGTTGTCCAGGTTGCTGTGCATTCGCTAAGTTCTGTGCGTCCATTTAATATTAGATAAAAATATCTCTTACGAGTACATATACTGAACATTTGCAGGCATTGGTTCATCTTCATATTCTCTGTACTTTTCTGCCACGTCAAATAAATAAATGACACAATGGAAAAAACCTAAAACTAACAATCCGATTTCAAACCACATTTACTTACTAATAAAATTTCTTTGTTATGACACTTTCTCCAGTTTATAGGACCTCTCTCATATTCTATCTTGTCATATCTAAACTCATAGTCATGTATGTCCTCTAACCATCTCATAACGGTTTCCAAACCACTTTTATCGGATGTAAAGTAAAAGCATGGATGGTTATGTATAACGTCTAAAGTTTCTAAAGAGTCTCTCAAAGTCCAGTCTACTTGGTATTGAAAATCCCATGTGTTATAGAACGGCGGGTCCACTATAAAGAAAACATTTTCCTTGTCTTTATATTTTTCATACAACTCTGTCCAATGACATCTCACAAACTCTATACCCTCAATATATTTTTCTATGTTCTCTTTGAAAACATTTGTATAGTTAAGATATAAAACTTTTGACATAAGTGTTTCAATGTCATGAACTCTTATAGCACCACTATATAATAGTCTAGCAGATATACTATCCCAGTCTATATATTCTGCTTTTTTCAAAACCTCTCTCACAATATTTTTCTTATCTAATGGTATACGTTCCATCTTACCTATAGGTATCTTTTCTTTTAACTCTTTCAATATATTGTTTGTGTCTGGTATATGTTTGAGACGGTCCATATAGTTGTCGAAGTCATTGCATATAATCTTTGAGTCTGGGAATATTGTATGACATAAATGGGATATATAGAAACTTCCACCGAACAAATCTACAAATGTTAGACCATTCGGTAGTTTCTTAAGTTCTCTCAATATAATATCTTTACATCTACTCTTATTTCCAAAGAACGGTAACGGCGGTTTTGTAAAATTCATTTATATATAATAATAAAAATGTTTTACCCGAAAAGTGACAGAAAAGTGACAAAACATGAAAACATATATAATTTGTGAAAAGTGACACATTATATAATGTTTTCGACCCAGAAGAAGGCTTCTTCCCAGAAGCAATGGAGGAAGAAGAAGAGGAGGAGGAAATACAAGACTCTATCCAAGAAGAGTCCTCCGAATTCACACCAGAAGACTAACAATTTTCCGAATAAAAACTTCATTTATACTAAACATCTTCGGGGCTAGAGGGCGCAACGCGCCTGGAAGCCCCACTTACCTGACCTACTAAATCTATGGAAATATATGTGAACTAATAAAAAATATCTAATATTTAAACTCCTTTTTTTTATTTAGGTACCCTATTCAATTTCTATCGTCACCATATGGAGAGGTCAGGCCCATATCATAAAACATTAAGTTTGGACTTACTAAGACATGTAAGAATTACCTTGCTTGTATAAGGGCATTAAATACTTTTAGATGCTAAAATCTTCAAAATTAATTTAATTTGATATTCAAAATATGCACGAAAACGTAAATAAATACGGATCTAGCTCTCACATATCTCTATTTTAAGCATTGATAAGTATTTCTACATTCTATTTTAAAAAATATTCAAATTTCACAATATTCTTTTCATTGATAATCTACATATTAACGAGAATGATATAACTTTTCATGTGTTTAGAAGTTCTTAGCTTTAGTACTGTATTGTTGAAAAAATTATTGAAGCCTTTTTTCTTTTTGAGAAATTAATGCAATAACCAAAGAGGAATTGCATATGCTGCGCACTAAAATTATAGAAATGTCTCTAATTAGTCACAAATAGAGATATTCGGAAATAAAAATTTGAAATTTTGATCAAAAACGCTATTTTCTAATCATTTTTATTTTAAAAAAAAAAAAAAAAAAAAAAAAAAAAAGGTAGTGGGGCTTCCAGGCACTTCGTGCCTTCTAGCCCCGTTGATGTTTAGTATAAAATGAAAGTCTTTACGATGAAATCTTGACAAAACATAGACAAGAAAGTCTTGACAAAACATAGACAAGAAAGTTCAACAAAACATAGACAAGAAAGTTCATGAGAAATTAGATGAAGAAATCTTAACAAAATATTTACGAAGAAGTCTTGACAAAACATATACGATGAAGTCTTGACAAAACATTGACAAGAAAGTTCATGACAAAACATAGACAAGAAAGTTCATGACAAAGTCTTTACGATGAAGTCTTAACAAAACATAGACAAGAAAGTTCAACAAAACATAGACAAGAAAGTTCATGAGAAATTAGATGAAGAAATCTTGACAAAACATTGACAAGAAAGTTCATGACAAAACATAGACAAGAAAGTTTTGACAAAGTCTTTACGATGAAGTCTTAACAAAACATATACGACTTCATCGTCAATGAGTGTAAATGACCCAAAATAATGTTTAGGGTAGAAGGGTATATCTACCCCGTTTTCTACCCTCTTTTCTACCCTCTTGAATTTTCATGAATTTTATACAGAATTCATGAAAAATATATTTTAGGGTAGAAGGGTATATCTACCCTCTTTTCTACCCTCTTTTCTACCCTCTTGACAAAACATATACGAAGAAGTCTCAACAAAACATTTACGAAGAAATCTCAACAAAATATTGACAAGAAAGTTCATGAGAAATTAGATGAAGAAATCTCAACAAAGTCTTTACGAAGAAATCTCAACAAAATATTGACAAGAAAGTTCATGAGAAATTAGATGAAGAAATCTCAACAAAACATTTACGAAGAAATCTCAACAAAACATTTACGAAGAAATTCATGAGAAATTAGATGAAGAAATCTCAACAAAACATTTACGAAGAAATCTCAACAAAACATTTACGAAGAAATTCATGAAAATTCAAGAGGGTAGAAAAGAGGGTAGAAAAGAGGGTAGATATACCCTTCTACCCTAAAATATATTTTTGGGTCATTTACAAAACATTGACAAGAAAGTTCATGAGAAAGTCTTTACGATGAAGAACTTTACAAAACATAGACAAGAAAGTTCATGAAAATTCAAGAGGGTAGAAAGTGTCATATAAACATCTGTCAAAAACCGCTTTTTAACTTCACTTAAAATGCCACGTAAGCTACGTAAGAATATACGTAAGAGGAAGAGAGCATTGAAACATCCAATAGTAAAACTGACACCACAACAACAGTTGCAACAACAAATGATGAATGACCCCACTATGTTGCAACAAATGTCAAGCAATCCTATGCTTTTAAACCGAGTTATTGGTGCACAGAGTGGAGGTTTAAGAGCGGCACTTTTAGCGAAAATGGCAGGCTATGGTGGAGCTGCAGACGGAACAGCCTATAACCCTCAAAGTCAAATGAATTTGAGTTCACTCAAAAATCAAATAACAGATGTCAAAAAGTCAAACATAGACATACAGAAGCAAATAAGTGAAAACGAAAAGAAACTAGAATATGACAGACACACAAAGAAACTCAATGAGTTAAACGTAGAGAAAAAGAAGAAAGAAGAACAACTGAAAGAACTAAGTACAGAGGAATATGCGAAAAAAGTGTCAGAAAAAGCAGCAGAAGTAGCAAAAATGGAACAAGATGTCATAAATTTGAAAAACCATACTACTCAATATAAAATACTGAAAGATGAAGAGATAAAACAAAAAGCCCTGAAGACATATATGGATAGCGATGAGTATAAAAAAGAAGTTGAAGCAAATGTAAAGGCAGAAAAACTTTTACAGTTGCAAAACCAAACCGTACAGTATGAAAACTTAGCACAAGAAAGTAAAAATAACGACGCAGCCATGCAAAAGGCAATGAAAAGCGCAGAATATATAAAAGCTAACAATGACTGGTTAGATGCCCAAGCCAACGCCAAAGCAGCCCAACTTATAGGGTCAATAAGGACAAAAATACAAGCGGATGAAGACAGTTCAAATGAAGCTTTAATGAATGCTGACTTTAAGAACGCCTTCGAAGCTCTTCATAGTAAGGTGAAACAAGTGAACGATTTCTCATCTGGAAAGAAACTGAAGTCTGAAGGTTTCGACAAAGAGTTAAGAGAAGTAGCACAAAATATGACGAAAATAACAGATGCAGCAACGAGACAGGCAGTTCAAAGTGCCTATGACGCCGTTAGAGCAACTGTTGTGGAAAGTCAAGAAAAAGAGTTACAACAGACCAAAACAGACCTAGTAAATGCTTTCTTAAAAACGAAAAGTCAGGTAGGACACTATGCTGCAGATGGAACATATGTGCCAGCTGGTGGAACTTATATACCAGCTGGTGGAACTTATATACTAGCTAGTGGAACTTATATACCACCAAACCCTCCAAGAGAAGCACCTGCACCAGGACTACCTAAAACATTTACATCGTCACATGGACACAGACACAGGCATGCACCAAAACCAACACAACAACCAACAGTTCAAAATCCAGCACAACAACCACCTCCACAACCAGCACAGCAACCAACAGTTCAAAACCCTGCACAACAACCACCTCCACAACCAGCACAACAACCAACAGTTCAAAACACTGCACAACAACAACCACAAACAGAGCAAGGACATAAAAGAAGTAGAGAACAAGGAAACCAAGAATTCTTAAAAATGCTTAAAGAAGACTATGGTTACCCAGATACTCTTGACTTTAGTGACAGATATAAAGAAGCTATTAGAAAGTTCAAGGAAGGAAATACTGACCCGAACCTATTTAGCTTTATGGTTCAGCACCAAATGGGATATAATTTCAAACCTGGAAAATACAAGCTCGCTAAGGGATATGATTTAATAGCATATCATCCAAATGACATGAATGAATTTACTCCGAGATATTTGGTGTCAGAGATAAATGATAATTCAACTATCTTCATGAAACGCGTAAAAAATAGAGACGGAACGAAAGAAGAAAGGGTTATGAATGCGGATGACTTAAATAGGGAACTTGTTAAAAACGGTCTCGGAATATATGAAATGCCAGCAGATGAGGTACAAGAAACTCCACAGGAAGAAGTTCAGATACAACCAGACATGGAAGAAATAGTTCAGCAACAACAGCTAGAAGAGCCTGAAGGAAACGAACAAGTCCCTCCTTTGGAAACTAACTTCACAGAACTAGATGAAGATTTGGAACAGCCGAAAAATCTTGACCCTCAACAAGAGTATGCGGAGAATATGGAATCTTTCCAAGAGTCTAAGAAAAATTCGGCTGACATAGTAGAAGAATATCGAAAAATGTTCGCCGACATACAAAAGACTCCAACATCAGATGAAAATATTCAGCATAGAATGGAAGTACTGAAAGAAAGTGTACGCAAATACAACAACCCTTTTTACTTACGAGCATTTAACGTTCAATCTTCGGATGAACTCGGTGAAGATAAAAGGTTAAATTTCAAGAAAACATATAGAAATGAAACATTGTTTAAAGTTCATTCAGAACCTAGCCAAGATGGAAACAAACCTACTTTTGTTTCTGCAGACGATGGAACTACAATGAGATGGGGTCATAAAGCTAATCCAGATAGGTGGTTCATAAACTTACAACCACAATTCCAAGAAGTTGTAGACGCAATGGAAGTCAATGGTGAACCAGATATAGCTGGTATTTTCAGCGCGGCTTTAATGCCATTGAAAGATATGAAACATGCAGATATTTTGGACCAGTATGAAATGAACATGGCTGATGGAAATATAACACCTGACGTTCTAGAACATTTATCTCAAAGAACTACACAGAACCATAGAGATGGTATATTTGGTGAAGAGTTTAGAAAGAAAGTTAGGGAGAGCGAAGGAAGAGAACCTATTGTACATGACCTTGCAAATGAAAGTTTACAAAATGTCATAAAAACTTACTTTGCAGACAATGAACTGAGAAGGGATGAATATTTAAGAAAACTCAAATGGACAGTACCAAATGAAATGTTAGTATTGAAAAACATGTTCCTTGACAAAATAAAACCAACTACAGAAATAAACGACGCAAGACTGAAAGATTGGGTAAAAGCTTTCCCATTCACAAAAGATATAGTTGGTAACATGGAAAGAAAACCAGAATGGCTACAAAAACATATATTTGGAAACGAGCTTATTCCATATGGACAGGCACTGTTTGAAGAGCTTGAACCAGAAACTCAGGAAAGAGTCATGCAAACAATACGCGAAGACTCAAATACAAACTATGACGAAATCTTTCTAAGATATAGGTTACCTGAGATGGGCGACCAGAGCCCAAAGGCAAAAAGGACATGGGAAATTTACAACATACTAGGTGAACATGAGGCAAAGATGCAACAAAACTCAGTCAGGAAGAAAGTAAAGCTTGGTCCATGTGGGTTCTATTATGACATATAAATCCAACTATTCTATATTTTTACTCATATGAAATGTACGCCGCTCAGAATATAACGCCAACAGTTTTGGATGCTATGAATGGAAATGTTTCCGAATGGTATAACGAATGCGACAATGCCATTAGAAGGTCAGAAATAGTTCCTGGAACTTACGAATATACAACTGCTGTTTCTTATGGAAATGTAGGTGAGTTTGGAGAAGGTTCTTCAACAACAGTAGATATTGCTTGCGACAGGTTTCATATAATTTCTATTGACAACTCTTTCTTATACGTGGAACAAGACATTGAAATAAAACCTTCTGCCAAGTTGTCTGACAAGAAAGGTTGCAATGGAATTTTCTATGTCGGATACCAATATGCTCCAGAAGTTTTTATGGGATATAAGATATATTCTAACTCTGACTTAGTTCAAACAGTAACATGGGCAAACTATGAATGGTTCGCTTTAAGAACTCAGTACAACCACAAGCTAGAGAACAAACAGACCAGTATGCAACTATTGAGAAAATAAGAAGACTTGACCCTAACGTTCCAGGAGTTTATGTTGACCTTTCTGGACAAACTGCAGCAGCAGTAACCAAAGTAAAACTGAAACTTAGAGTTCCTTTGTCATCTTTCCTCATCTTCAGGTTTTTAAGATACTTGCCAAACTGGCAGGAAAAATTTCTATCGAACTTACTCCAAGCAAAAATAACTTAGTCATTGCACCAACACAAGACCCATTCAGCATTGCTGTAGCTGGAACTGGTGGAGCCAAGTTCTGTGACTTTTGCAAAGACAAAGTTGACTTAGACTTTGGTTTCTCAAACTTCAACACTGAAGTAAACTACTATTTCAATGCTGCTGGAACTGCTTGGGACCCAGTTAAGTTCACATGCGAAAAATTTGAATGCAAGAGAATAGAAAGCAGACTTGCAGTCTATATGTTGGACCCAGATATTTCAAATGCTTTAGCTGCCAAATATATTGCAGTTCCACTTATGTTCCCTATACACCAAATATCTGTCAAAGACTTTGCAGGTGAAGTTGGAAACCAAAGTGCTGACCCAGGTGCAAGAACAGATATTGCTTTAACAACTGCAATGAAACATGCAGATACTATGTTTGTACTGTTCAGACGAACTATAAATGACTATTCTTGTTTCTACAACCCTGGTATTAAATATCATATAAACATAGATGGCAAATATTATCCAAGAGAAGAATATTCTACAGTTGAGGATATGAGGTCATACAACTTGACATTAGATGCTATGAACTTTAACAACAACTTCACAACAACCATTAACCCTGAAATGCAAAGTTCTATTATGCCATATGTGAAAGTATGGACTCATACAGGAGGTCAAAAAACTCAATATACAAATGGAGACCGTTCAAACTTTTGGCTTGGCATTCCATTTGCTGACTCAGAAGACTTTATGGGTGGTATTTCAACTGTTGGTACTGTACAAATACAATATACTGGTGACAGAGACGGTCCAAATGAATTGAAAGCAAAGAAGTTTACAAAACCAATAGCACTTTTCACGGAAGATGCTCTTTTGAAGATTCGTTCGATGAAACCTGCTGGGGCTCCTCAGATTGGCATAACGACAGCTTCCATCGAGCAGATTTTGGCAGCAGGTCAGTAAGTTGTTCTTGAACTGACTTCTCTCCGTCAAATATTGACAGTACGCCAGTTTTGACATAGTATTGTATTATAAACTTACCTTTAGAAATATCGGTCAGTTTTGTTGTTATATTTTTGTCAACGTCAAGAACTTTCACCATCTCGGTTATACCAACTTTCTTTGCTTTATGAAAATATTTTGGTTCAGCAAAGACTGCTATTCTATAACATTTTCCATTGTTTGTATAAAGAACTATTCTATCAATGAACTTGTATTGTTTGTGTGTGTAAACTTTGTTTTGCTTCAATTCGAAGAGATACTCAAATACGTCCATCTTTTTATTCTAAGTAAAATGTCATTTCCGAAAAATAGAAGCGTAAGTGTTTCAAAAGGTTTAATGGCGGTGGCAGATGTGAAGTTAAATTCACCAACTCAAACAAACAGTCAAAGTGTTGTTGTCAATGTCAAAGAAAGAGATGTTGAAGTGGGGAAACCATACGAAGACGAAGATGGTATAACAATAGTTCCTGTAAAAGAACAACCAACATATCCTGAAGTTAGCAGAGACTTAAGTTCTGTTGCAGATATTCGAAACGACTACCAACAACTTAAAGACAAACTTAAAACTCAGGAGAAGATTTGTCAAGCTTTGGGTATAATGTTAAACTTGGTCGAACACAACCCTGTAAAAGTGAACTCATATGTCATTGCACCTCATGAAGTTTTGAAAGAACTATTGAAACTTTTGACAGAGGCAGACGATATAAACATCAAAGAAATAGAACCCGACATTGCTTGCTGTGGTGTTTCATATAATGTCATTGACAAGATATACGTTATGAAAGGAGGTGAAACGTTGAACTTAAAATATAGTTTCCCAGACGTCATAAAAATATTTGACGACCACAACATTTCATTAAAATTTACTTGCTAAGTAAAAATGTCAAAACTTCTTGAAAGATGTTTGAAGAAAAACAATATAGACTTTATTTCATGTAAAGGACTTTACACACTTTTGAACGATATGAAAGACCCTGTTTTATTTGTTCGTGTAGACAAAGGAAAGTTCTATGTCTTTACAAAATATTTGAACTTCTTAGACAGAGAACTTCAAGAAACGCCATGTGAAAGTTTAGATGAAGTTCTTCTCCACTTTCAGAAAAACTTTTAAATATATGTAAATGGCAGAAGACATAGTGGTTTATACTATTACGACTAAAAACCCTGAGTCATATAATTCTATAACAACAAACTTACAAAGTCCTCAAGGACGATATTGTAAACTGACCTTAAACACGATGACGACTAAAGCCTGTTTTGCTCTTTTGACACCAGAAGATTTTATTGTTGTGAATGGTAAAAAATACTTCTTTGAAGATACTTACTCAGATATACCACCAACAGGTTTTTGTTGACTTATTTAATACTTTAAGGACGGATGTAACATGTGCTGCAACTAGAGCAAGTTTCATTATGTTTGGATGTCCGACTGAGTTTAGTATAAACGATATGAGCTATAATACAAAACTTATATCTGGTTTTTACTACCAACAGTTTCCTATAACAGGAAAAGGTGTCATACAAGGTCTATCCGTTCCATTGACTTTAAGCACACCTATTTTATATATTGTTTCAAACTTAGGTTCAAAGTGCTATTCGAATGTCGACAGAAACTACTATGACCAAAAGATACTCATGCGTATAAACAACACTTTCTCTGCTGGTTTGCCTATTGTTCATTCGAATGCAGAGTTTTCAGCTTTAGTAAACTCAAACACTTTAGCAAACATAAACTTAACCTTAGTTGACGCAAACTTTGTTCCTGTAAAACTTTTATGTCCTATGTATTTGTCAATGACGGCAGAAAGTTTCGAATTGGAAGATGCAACTGGTGAAAGTATTGTACTACAAGAACAACTTCAACAACAAATAGCTCAAGAACAACAAATGCAACAAATGGAACAAATGCAACAAATAGCTCAAGAATAAAAAAAATATTTTTTTTTATTTTTATAAAAAAATGTACAGAATAGACGTTTCAGATTTTTATGACTTCCAAGCCTTCAGAAATATGTGTCCATTTAGAGACTATAACAAAGCAGTCGAGAATTTGAAACGTTTAGTCATTTATGTCGACTCTGCCCCAGAATGTTATGTCATGAAAGAATGGGATGTAGTCTTTAACAAACCTAAAGCGACAATAGTTTCAGAACAAGAATGTAAACAGAAACTTAAGAAAATAAAAGTCGTACAAGTTGGTATGAAGATGTTAGATGCTTGGGATATCTTATTGTCAAAACTTGAAGATTTTTCAGTTCGTGGTATAAGTTCTATACACCTTCTCCAAACTTCTATTCTATCTTCACTGGATATAAATACGAACAAGTAGAATGGAAAGAAAATGTTATAGAAGCTTGGTTAGACCATGTCAAAGAAATTATATGCAATGGAAACGAAAGAGTCTATGAGTATATCTTATGTTGGTTTGCAAACATCTTACAACATCCAAGTGCTAAAAATGAAACTGCTCTCATTGTAATTGGAAAACAAGGAACAGGTAAGAACACTTTCTTTACAGATATCTTATGCAAACTGTTAGAGGGCTATTCGAACCCGAATATGACAAACTTAGAAAACATCTGCGGTAAATTTAACTCTTCAATAGAGAATATGAAACTTATAGTATGTAACGAACTTCAAAGTATAGATACAACAAAAGTTTTGAACTCGGATGCTTTGAAGAGTCTTATAACAGACAAAGTTGGAGTTGTTGAAAGAAAATATAAAGACCAAAGAGTTTGTGAAAATGTTGCAAATTTCATCATGGTTTCAAACAACGCCGTTCCGATGAAGTTAGAAAGTTCTGACAGAAGATATGTAGTTGTCAGAACGTCAGAAGCTCATATGCAAGATACAGAATATTTTGACGACTTAGCAGAAACTTTGACACCTAACTTTTACAACCACTTGTTCTCATATTTCATGACATTAGATATTTCAAAGTTCAATCCAAGACAAATTCCACATACCGAAGAAAGACAAACGTTGTTAGAAGCAAACAAGAGTGTATATGAACTGTTTATAGATGAGACTAACTTTGAGTGTTTAGATGAAAAGTCTTTATATGATGAATATAAACAATATTGTCAAGAATATGGTTATATGGCAGCTTCTAAACGAACATTCTTGGCAAATGTCAAAAGTCTTTTAGATGTTCAGAATGGTGTATATACAAAGAAAAATTTTTCTGAGTAAATTTAAAAAAAAATCTTTTTTTATCCGATAGAAAAGATGGCAAAATTCATCTCAGTAAATAAGTACATGTCAGGACTTAAAGAAGAACTAGACCCATTCGCTTATTTGAATGTTTACTTCTACCATTTTGA